TGTGTCTGCTCTCTCTGGTACTGCGCCCACTGCGGTCTCGCACACCTTCACCCTTGACTCAGGAGCTTCCCGCTCCTTCTTTCGCGACTGCACCGCACTTACGCCGCTCCGTCGGCCAGTCCCGGTCTCCCTGGCGGACCCCTCTGGGGGTCCAGTCCTTGCCCACTATTCCACGGTTCTGCCGTGTCCGGCCGTCCCGTCCGGCTCGCTGTCAGGTCTTTACCTCCCCTCGTTCTCTACGAACTTGGTGAGTGGAGCTGACCTCCAGGATGGGGGGGTTGACCAGTTCACTCCTGCGAGTCAGCGAGTGACTCACTGTACGTGTGCTAGGACGGGCCGGCACTTGGCCACGTTCACCCGTGCACCTGGCTCGAGTCTGTACACACTGACCACTGAGTCCCCTCAGGTAGCTGCGTCTGCGTCTGGTCAGCTGGCGGCCCCCTGCGAGTGTCGCGCTTTGTCGCACGACACTCTCCTGTGGCACCACCGCCTTGGTCACCCCTCCTTGCCTCGCCTGCGTAGCATGCACTCTCGCTCCCTGGTCTCTGGTCTTCCCAGGTCCCTGCCTGCCCTCCCTCCCTCGCCTGCGTCGCCCTGCATTCCTTGCGTCGAGGGGCGGCAGCGCGCCGCTCCTCACTCCTCCTCGTTTCCTCCCACAGAGGCTCCACTGCAGACGCTCCACCTGGACGTGTGGGGCCCAGCCCGCGTCCAGGGACAGGGCCGCGAGCGGTACTTCTTGCTGGTCGTCGACGACTACACGCGTTACACCACGGTCTTCCCCTTGCAGAGCAAGGGGGACGTCCCTGCTGTTTTGATCCCCTGGATCCGCGCTGTTCGTCTCCAGCTCCGCGAGCGGTTCCGGTCGGACTTTCCTGTCCTGCGTCTGCACTCTGACAGAGGTGGTGAGTTCTCCTCCGACCTCTTGGCAGCCTACTGTGCGGAGCACGGCATCACCCAGTCGTTCACGCTTCCGGCCTCTCCGTAGCAGAATGGGGTTGCTGAGCGCCGCATTGGTTTAGTCATGGAGGTCGCTCGTACCTCCATGATCCATGCGGCTGCCCCCCATTTTCTGTGGCCGTTTGCGGTCCGGTACGCCGCGCATCAGCTCAACCTCTGGCCCCGTGTCTCCTTGCCGGAGACCTCGCCCACACTGCTGTGGACGGGGAAGGTTGGCGATGCGTCGCGTTTCCGGGTCTGGGGTGCTCGTGCCTTTGTCCGCGATACCACCGCGGACAAGCTCTCCGCTCGCGCTGTTCCCTGTGTCTTCCTTGGCTTTGTCCCTGACGCGCCTGGTTGTCTTTGCGTCTCAGGACGTCACGTTCGACGAGTCGGTTCCCTTTTACCGTCTCTTCCCCTACCGCACTGCCTCGCTCCCCCCCCCCGCCGCTCTTCCTTGCTCCAGGTGCTCCCCAGGTAGACCCCCTCCCCGCTCCCGGTCCTGCTCCTTCAGGTGTTTCTCAGGTAGACCCTCCTCCCTTGACTGCGCCGGTTGAGGTCACTGGTGACTCAGGTCCTCCTGCGAGTGGTCCTGCTCGGGGTGCTGAGCCTGGGGGTGCGGAGCCTGGGGGTGCTGAGTCTGGGGGTACTGAGCCTGAGGGTGCGGAGCTTGAGGGTGTAGAGCCTGGTGGTGCTGAGCCTGCGTGTGAGGGGTCTGGGGGTGCTGAGCTTGGCGGTACTGACGCTGGAGGTTCTGGAGCTACTGAGGGTGCTGGCGCTGGAGGTTCAGGAGCTGCTGGAGGGCCTAGTCCTGGTGGCGCTGGAGCTGGAGGTCCTGGAGCTGTTGAGGGTGCTCGCGCTGGAGGTTCTGGAGTCGCTGGAGGTACTGGTGCTGAGGGTACTGACACCGGAGGTTCTGGAGCCGTTGGGGGTGCGGGCGCTGAGGGTTCTGAGTCTGCTGTTGCGCGGTCTCCTTGGAGTGGCCGCCTTCGTCCCCGTGTGCCTCTCACCCCACAGCAGCTGCAGGACTGGTACGGTCGCCGTCAGCGTCGCGCTGCTGGAGCTCGGAGTCGTGCTGGTCCTTTGTCTACTGGAGGTGCTGGAGTTGCTGGTTCTGGAGGGGCTCGTGCTGGAGACACTGAGGCTGGAGACCCTGGGACTGGAGGTGCTGGCTCTGGGGGTGCTGCTGCTGGAGACGCTGAGGTTGGAGACCCTGGAGCTGGAGGTGCTGGTTCTGGGGGTGCTACTGCTGGAGACCCTGCGGTTGGAGACCCTGGGACTGGAGGTGCTGGTTCTGGGGGTGCTGCTGCTGGAGACACAGAGGTTGGAGACCCTGGGACTCGAGGTGTCGGCTCTGGGCCTGGAGCTTCTGGAGCTGCTGGAGGTACTGGAGCTGCTGGAGGTACTGGAGCTGCTGGAGGCACTGGAGCTGCTGGAGCTGCTGGTTCTGGTGCAGCTGCGCCGACACGACTGTTCTTCGCTCCGCCGTCTCCGTCGTCTCTGCCGCCGTCTGCCTCTGTTCTTCGTCAGGTTCTTACTCTTCCGTCGTCTACTGGTCTTCCGTTACAGACTGGCTCGCCGCTGCCTGCTCCTTCTCCTTACGCTGAGCTGACTGGTAGTCCTGCTGTGCGTCGTGAGCCTGCGTCGCGTCCTGTCTCGCTTGTTCGTCCTGGTCGTACCGGTCCTCGTGTTCCTCGTTCGCGTCCGCCGGCTGTCCCCAGCGCGCACCTCGTAGTCCGTCGTCCTTCCTCTGTTCCGCAGCCTGTTCCTCTGCCGTCTCCTCCTGCGTCCTCTTTGCCTGACGTTCCGGACCCTGCGTCTGACCGGTTTCGTGCTCAGCACCCTACTGTCACGCGTCTACTAGCCACAGTTGTCACTGACCCGTCGTTTGAGTCTGCTGCTGCGTCTGCTCTTGTCGCTGAGCTTGTTGACTTTGCTGCTGCCTGTCGTCTAGACTTCACTGCCAGTCTTGTTGCTGAGTCTGAGTCTGTCTGTCCTCCGTCCGTCGGGGGTGAGTGTGCTCTTAGCACGGACGTCCTTGAGGACAGGCAGGAGGAGTTCCAGTGCCTTGCTGCTGCTTTACCTCATCTTGTGTCCTCGCTACTTGCCCCTGAGGGAGACCCGGATGCACCAGACATCCCGACTCCGCGCTCTTACGCAGAGGCGATAGAGGGTCCCTACTCTTCTCAGTGGCAGGCAGCCATGGACGCAGAGATGGCTTCCTGGAAGTCCACAGGCACCTACGTTGACGAGGTTCCCCCACCTGGGGCGAACATCGTCAGTGGCATGTGGATTTTCAGGGTGAAGCGGCCGCCGGGTTCTCCGCCTGTCTTCAAGGCGCGTTACGTGGCTCGAGGCTTCAGTCAGCGAGAGGGAGTTGACTTCTTCCAGACCTTCTCCCCCACTCCGAAGATGACCACTCTTCGGGTGCTGCTGCACGTTGCTGCTCACCGTGACTACGAGCTTCACTCTCTTGACTTCAGCACAGCTTTCCTGCAGGGCAGCCTGCACGAGGAGATCTGGCTGCGCCGCCCCCCGGGCTTCACTGGGTCGTTCCCTCCTGGTACCCAGTGGAGCCTCCGGCGGCCGGTCTACGGTCTCCGCCAGGCGCCACGTGAGTGGCACGACACACTGAGGACTACGCTTGCGGCTCTTGGGTTTGCGCCTTCTACTGCTGACCCGTCGCTGTTTCTGCGCACCGACACTTCCCTGCCGCCGTTCTACATCCTCGTGTATGTCGACGACTTGGTTTTTGCCATTGCTGACACTGAGGCTCTCGCCCACGTGAAGTCGGAGCTGCAGAAGAGACACACGTGCACAGACTTGGGTGAGCTGCGCAGCTACCTTGGCTTGCAGATCACCCGAGACAGAGCACGTCGCACCATCACCTTGACTCAGTCACACATGGTGCAGCAGGTCCTTCAGCGCTTCGGCTTCACCTGGTCTTCAGCACAGGCCACTCCTCTGGCTACAGGTCACACGCTCTCAGCTCCACCTTTGGACGAGTCCGTAGAGCCGAGTGGTCCTTACCCAGAGCTAGTCGGCTGCCTCATGTACCTGATGACTTGCACTCGACCTGACCTCGCGTACCCTCTTGGTCTCCTGGCTCGCTACGTGGCTCCTGGTCGGCACCGACCTGAGCACATGGCTGCTGCTAAGAGGGTACTGCGTTACTTGTGCAGCACATCAGGCATGGGGCTAGTGCTTGGAGGGACGAGCCCAGTTGTCCTCACTGGGCACTCAGACGCTTCTTGGGTTGACGACCTGGCTACTCAGCGGTCGTCACAGGGTTACACCTTCAGCCTTGGCTCTGGTTCAGTTTCGTGGCGTTCTACACGCTCGACTTCAGTTCTCGGCTCCAGTTGTGAGGCTGAGATCTACGCCACCGCCATGGCTGCACAGGAGTTACGCTGGCTCACCTACCTGCTGACTGACTTGGGAGAGCAGCCTCGTTCTCCTCCAGTGCTGTACGTTGACAACAAGGCCGCCATTGCCTTGTGTGAGGAGCACAGACTGGAGCACAGAACGAAGCACATTGCTCTGCGGTACTTCCTGGCTCGAGAGTTGCAGCAGCGAGGCCAGCTTCGTCTTCGCCACGTGGCCACTCGGGCCAACACTGCTGACATATTCACCAAGGCACTTCCGTCTGGTGATCATCAGCGCTTTTGTACTCTGTTAGGCCTTGTGCCTACGTTTCCACACTTGCTGTAGTCTCTGCTTGTACTGTGATCTGTACATATATATATATATGCATGCTGGCTCTTGCTAGGTAGTCATCACTGTACTGTTATTGCTGCATATATATCTCTGCATGTGAACTGGCCCAGTGGCCCTTTGCTTGTGCTCAGAATGCGTGGTGACGTTGTGATCCACCCTGAGCTTGTTTTGCTTCTCTTGACTGGTCGTGTGACCCCTTGTTCTCCCCCACTTTGCCTATGGGGGTGTGTCAAACTATATGTGCTGCATATTGTCTAGGCTGTAGTGGGGTAGCCCATATGGGGTACAACCTAGTTAGGGTTTACTACTTGTACTCCTGCATCCTGTTAGTTCATCCATTCCTGCTGCTAGATTCTAACAGAGGGCACGCAGGTCGTCCTCGCTGCAGGATGGAATGGGCATAAGCAGGTGTGCGGGGAGTGGACGAAGGGGGGTGCGGGGCACGGGGAGGGGCGGGTCTTACAAGCTTTTGAGTATTCGTAAAAGCGTACAAACAGGGGAGCGACGGGAAGGGGAGAGAGGGGGGGAAGGGGTAGAGGAAACGGGGGAAATACAAGGAAGAGGGGGGGAAGGCTATACGAGGCGGAGTAGCAGAGGTTGCGGAGGAAGAGCCGGCCCGTCTCCCTCACGTCCTCCGCTGCTCCCCCATCCACCACTGCCCCCCCTCCCTCCTCCGCTGCTCCCCCATCCACCACACCATCCGTGTTGCCGCCATCGCCTTCCTCTTCCCCTTCCTCTTCCTCTTCCCTTTCTTCCCCTTCCTCCTCTTCTTCCTCCCTTTCTTCCCCTTCTTCCTCTTCATCCTCGTTCTCCTCCCCTTCCTCCTCTACCTCCCCTTCCTCTTCTTCCCCCTCTCCCCCTTCCTCCACGTCTCCGTCCTCCTCCTCTCCCTCACTCTCTTCCTCGTTCCCCACCCTCCCCCCCGCTTTCTCCTTCTTTCCCTCCTTTGCCTCCTCCTCGTCGTCATCATCGTCATCATCACTCCAATTCGAAGCAACCCTTTTCTTGAGATAGTCCAAATTACTCAAACCCTCCTCCTCCTCCTCCATTTCCTCCCCATGCTCCCCCTCCTCTCCCTCCTCCCCCTCACTCTCCTCCTCCTCCTCTCCATCTGCGCCCCCCCTCTCTTCCCCTTCCTCCTCACTCCCATCCCCCTCTACAATCACATCCCCATACAACTCATCATCACTCTCCTCCCCTTCCTCCACCTCCCCACTCTTCCTCCCTCCCCTTCCCACCTCCACCACTCCCCCACTCACACTCCCACCGCCCCTCCCCTTCCCCACTCCGCCTCCCCTCCCCCCATCCCCATCCACAGTATCATTCGCCCACACCTTCTTCTTCCCCCCTCGCTCCATCACCTCTAAAAATTCCCTAAACCCTTCATCCTCCTGCGCTGCTTGCTTCACAGCCACCCCTCCCACCACCCTCCCTGCCATCTTCTTCTCTTTCTCCCCTCCCACTCCCTCCGCTCCTGCCCCACCCTCCCCCCCGTCCCCTCCATCCCCGGCCTTCTTCCCACCTTGTTTCCCCCCTTCCGCTGCTGTCGCTCCCTGTTCACCTGTCTTCCCCTCGCCCTTGGACGCCTTGGCCTGCGTGTGCTTGCTCCAGGCGCGGGGCAGTGCCGTGTGACCAATGGGCATCGCGAACTGAAGAGGACGGGATGTGATGGAGGAGGAAGAGGGATGGAGGAGGAAAGGCAATCACGTGGGAAGAAGCACTGTACGACATATACATACATATGACAACCATGTAACCACCATATGCAACGAGCCAGTTACTTCTCAACGCAGGTGAGACGGAACGTGCTGGAAGTAAGCTACCACGGCTGCTACTGTTACGATATGTAAAAGGGTTACCTCAGGCACCGCGCGTGTGAATCGGAAGGTGTCCATGAAGGAGAGATTCGGATAGGTTCTTTCAGGTCAGGTAGTACTGACTGACGAAAGAATGTGTAACACGGTTACCGCACCGCACCTCGCAGGTGAGGCATAAGGTGTCCATGAAGAAGCGGTGGAAGTAAGATATGACGGCTGCTACTGCAACAATATGTTGTAACAGCGTTACCACACTTCACAGATCAGTCGAAACGTGTCCATGAAAGAGCAGTGGAAGTAAGAAATCGTGGCGGCTGCCCCCTCCTCTTCTGATCGCAGCCCCAAAAACTGTAACCAGTAACAACATGTAACGGGGTTACCGCACCTCACAGGTGAGTCGAAAGGTGTCCATAAAGGAGCGATTGAAGTAAGCTATCGCCGCTGCTGCCTCCTCCTCTGATCGCAGCCCCACAAAGCCAAACTGCCGCGACCGCCCGTCGCTGGTGGGGGGAGGTGGGGAGGGGGAGGGGGAGGGGTGGGGGAAGGGAGGGAAGGCAGAGTAGCATTCCTCCGATCGCAGCCCCACAAAGTTAAACTGCCACGACCGCCCGTCGCTGGTAGGGGGAAGGCGAGGGGGGAGGAGAGCGCAAGAGGAGAGGGGGATGAGATGGCGGGGGACAGAACAGAAGCCAGGCGAAGGAACCTTCTTCCTCCTCCTCCAATCGCAGCCCCACAAAGCCAGCCAGACTGCCTGCCGCGACCGCCCCATCGCTCGTGTGGGGGGTGTTGGACGCTAAGAGGGGAGGTGAGAGGAAGAGATGTTGGACGCTTCAATACTTGAAGTACTGCCGCAGCGATCCTCGGTAGTATCGGGCAAAAATGGGAATGCGAAGATTGAGAAAAGTGAGATGATGTGATGCGGATGCGGCATAAGCAAGAGGATGAGCATTTTCCCGCACTTTATTCCCCCGCACTTGTTTCCCCCGCACTTTATTCCCCCGCACTTTATTCCCCCGCACTTGTTTCCCCCGCACTTTATTCCCCCGCACTTTATTCCCCCGCACTTTATTCCCCCGCACTTTATTCCCCCGCACTTTATTCCCCCGCACTTTATTCCCCCGCACTTGTTTCCCCCGCACTTGTTTCCCCCGCACTTTATTCCCCCGCACTTTATTCCCCCGCACTTTATTCCCCCGCACTTTATTCCCCCGCACTTTATTCCCCCGCACTTGTTTCCCCCGCACTTGTTTCCCCCGCACTTTATTCCCCCGCACTTTATTCCCCCGCACTTTATTCCCCCGCACTTTATTCCCCCGCACTTTATTCCCCCGCACTTGTTTCCCCCGCACTTGTTTCCCCCGCACTTTATTCCCCCGCACTTTATTCCCCCGCCCTTGATTTTTCCAGCATGCCACGTCATGTGACTCTTCTTGACTCGACTCGCAACTAGTCTCATCTGACGCTGGCTGGCAGGAGCGCTCTCACCGCGTGCGCATGATCTTGGCGTCGGTGACGTGGCCTTTGACGGAAAAGTGCTCTCTCAGTCTATCCTCCGTCACGTATTCTGGCAACCCCTTGACGCACACGCGCGTGCTTCGAGGCATCTGATGAGCCTCCTCCGTTTGTACCCCCATTGTCGGTCCCGCTAATGGCAAGCAACCTAGTGGTTAACGGAGCGTTAAAATGTACAGACACGCTTACGGGTACACAGGAGGCGAATGCACGGAAACAAGGACACTACTGGAGCTGGAAACAACGGTCATGTAATTTGGTTTGCACAGCTCAGCTCAGAGCAAGTAGGGTTTTGCCCGTGTTGCTGAGGCCGAAAAACATTTGGGTGGGAGGGAGAGGGGATAAGAATGGGTTTGGCGACGCGATGTACGGCAAATTCAGTAATACCCTCAATACAGTTAGGACTGAATGAATGCCACATTTCTGAAATGTTAAACGCTACAAAAAAAGGGAGCTCTCAATATAGTAATCTGTTCATTAATAATCAACAGCAAACATACTAAATAGTACCCAATGCTATTACAGCACATTGAGCCCTATAAAACTCTCTAAACATTCAGGAAACCTGGGCCTACCCTCCAATTCGTTACATGGCTTGGCATTTTCCTTCATGGATCATCTCCTCTACCTTAGTCGTCAATGCATCATAACTTTTCACAACATCTACTTGACATCCAGACAGCCTTGGATATATCCTCTCATACGCCCTACCAGCCTCCTCTGCTCCTCTTCTAAAATAAATAATATTCCTGCCGGCCCAGTAGCTCGACAGTACTGACGTGCCGCCCTGTACACTTATGAAGCACGAGCTCCTTGCCATTGTTCTAAACTGCACCTCATTATAGTCACATCCCTGACAGCTCCTGCGAAGCTTTTGCATTGTAGTGAAACGAGGCTGCGACCGAAATTCCTCCCGGAACATTCTATACTCGCCTAAACCAGTCAAATCCCGCTGCTCCCTATCCGTCTTAAACGCCTTCCCCGCTCGGTTGTACACCACATAATACCCGGTATTGAGAAACTCTCTTATGATCCGCTTCAGCGTCAAAATGTCGATAAAGTTAACCGGCGGCTCGCCCCACTCCGTCTCAAACTTGTTACTGATAACAACCAAAGAAGCACCTGCGGGAACGTCAGTCCAAACCGGCCCAAGCTTCTGAATGTGGGAGGCAAGAGGAGGGGCCGTCCACGTATCCGGAATTTCACTATCGTGCAAACCCTCCTTAAACCCATACCGTTTGATCACGAAATTGAAGTGTGCGGATCGCTTGCACTTCCATCCAACGGTTTGGATCGGGCTGAAATAGTAGAGGAGCGCGAGAGAGGGCATGGCGCAGAACCTAGTAGAGTTTAAGGAGCCGTTTAAATAGTGCCAGTAGGCGAATGGGAGGGCGGCGATTAACTCGTACCCGAACTCGCCTCGGAAAAAGATGTTGACAGGCCGGCGGAGGGAAGCAGGAGGGGGGCTATTGGTGGGGTCTAGGCTCGGTGTAGGCATGGTGCTGGTTGGGTCTTGGGTCGGCACAGGCATGGTGCTAGTGGGAACCGAAGGACTTGGATGGTTTTGAGGGACGATGGATATCTGGTTGGAGTAGGATAAGGAGGAGGAGGAAGAGGAGGGGTCTGGGAAGAAGTGAGCTTCCTGGGCTGCATCAGCGATAGGTGGTGGGAAAAATACAGAGGGGTTCAATTCAACTGAGATGAGGTCAGAAAGGGTGTGAGAGGGTTGGTTGGCTAAAGAGAGCGGATTCGAATTAAGAGGCTCAGGTAAAGGGTAGGGACGTAACCAGGAAGCGGGTGTGCTCGGATGGATGTTGGCTGGTTCAGGTGGTGTGACTTGCACCTGGTGTCTTTGCCATGCCTGGTGGCTAGGACGGGAAAGGCTTAATGTGGGCAAAGCCTTATGGGGTAATGCAGGAAGGCCTTCGGGCGATGAGACGTTGGACTGTTGCTGTTGTTGCAAGGGCTGCTGTTGCTGCAAGGGCTGTTGGCTGGAATGGAGAAGCGGTAACGTAGGCAGAAACGTTTGAGGTGGCCCAGAAGAAGCTGCAGGCAGCGAAATGTGAGACTGGTGTGGGTGCAAGGAGGACTGAGGTTGGGGCAGAGGTACGGATGAGAGCGAATGAGGCAGTGACAAGGATGAAACAGAGGTCGATGTCGCAGGAAAGAAGTTTTCTGTATTTTGAGGTTTCTCAACACGTGCCAGGGGGAAGGCTGCTTGCGTGGTATGAGGACTCTGTGCCAGAGGGGGAGCTTCTTGCGCTGTGGAGTGGAGGGACGAATCAATGGATTTCGGAGCTTCTGAGGCGATTGGGGCTTGAGAGGATGAGCCTGGCGAGGGAGGGAGGGGGGGAGGGAGGGAGGAAGGGAGGGAGATGGCGGGTTGGAAAAATGGGATTGCAGTACATGGCAGAGTGTGCAATGCAGTGCGTGACTCCAAAAAGACTGGGAAAGAGACAGAGAGAGAGAGAGAGAGAGAGAGAGAGAGAGAGAGAGAGAGAGAGAGAGAGAGAGAGAGAGAGAGAGAGAGAGAGAGAGAGAGAGAGAGAGAGAGAAAGACAGGTTTTTATTATCATTATTATTTGTTTTTGGACTGGGTGCAGAGGGCACCAGCAACAGCAACAACTGCACGGCGTAACAAGAGAAGAACTTATTCGACGCGCATATGCTGGAGCCTGGGAAGAATCATCTGGCGGGGTGCATCTCCAGGTACCTGGGAAGTGCAGATCTCGGGTAGAGGGGTCGTGTGATGGTAGCTTGGTTAGAGCAGGGCGAGCGAAGGGCGTCGCCACGAAACCAACGGCGACGAGGAGAAGAAACGCCACGACGAGTGGTAACCGCTTCGCGCATGGCCTTCGCGAGCAGCGCCAGAAGCGAGAGCAGCGCGAGTGGAGCCAGCGTCGGGGATGCATGATGGAGGGGAGAGCTAGTCGCAGCGTGCACGGCCGACGGGCATTGGACGCACGGCGAGCGGAAAAACGGACGACGAGAACACGACGACGGGCGCGGCGTGGCGAGCAGGTGCAGGAGCCGCAGGAGCAAGCAGGAGCGGCAGGAGCAGCCGCAGCCGCTGCGAGCTACTCGATCCCTTGTGTATAGCGTCGCTTTCTGATTCCTTGGCTTTCACTAAAAGGGATATATTTCCTGCTATTCCGAAGCACCGAAGCGCGGGAAGACCGACGCACGAAAAACGGAACAGCACGATAGGGAAACGCGCGCCTATTTATAGAAGAGACGAAATGTACAGCCTACGAGAAGAGTCATCGGGCTCGGCTGGGCTGGCGCGGTCGAAATGTATATGCTACCAGAAATAGTAAATACCACTCAGGAAGGACTTAGGACGGGTAGGTGCTTCCTCATTATCTTCTGCTATGTGATCATGAAAGGGATGTTTTTAGGGCGGGTGGATGGATGGGCTTGAAAACAAGTCCTGAAGGACGCGGCTAAGAAAAAAGTGTTTTAGCTTCCATGAGAGTCGCACAAATTATGTAACCCCCTACGGGGATCACGAGGTAGCTTGCGAATGTTGAGTTCTGTTTGCGCAGCATTACCTTCGGCCGCTCGAAACCGTAGCAGGGGTTCGAACTTCACAGCCCGAGGGACGACCCGATTGTCGCAAATTCCGATACGCAGATCATCGCAAACGAACATCGGCCACTTCGTGTCGCCGATCCACGTTTGACACGATGTAGCGGACGAGGCCTCACCGGTATTTCTGATGCGAACTCAATCTCGGCAAGAGCTATTTCATTTTCTGCTCGAAACCCTGCTGGACCGTTCTGGTATATCCCATGCCGTTTGGAAACGCTGATAATCTCACCCCACCGCATACTAATGAAGTCCATCACGTAATGCTCCTAACAACCACTGACTGATCACCACATACTTAAATGCTGTCTAACAACGATGCCCCCAACCACTCTCTGATCACCGCCATTCCCGCATTCTACGTCGCCTTTTGCTCAATCCTTCCCGCTCCACCTCACTTCACGCAAGCAGCTATTTAGAAAACGAATCAGCCATGGCAGAGTGAATCAGTCCGAGGTTCTTTCTCTGAGGAACGGAATTCTCAACGACGCAATAACCTCTGAGAATCCGCTAGCTCCAGATAACAACTACCACTAGCTGACGTGGCAAAGAGCTCATCACCGCGTAGCAACCATGCAACCTAGCGCAGCGCGGCAAGATTCCAAAATTCCCGGAATGAGCGGGTCGCTATCGGCGCCGGTGCTCGTGCTCGCGCTAATCGGCGCGCTCGCCGTGTTCACCGAGGTCGTGTCGCTCGTGCGCGTAGGCGTGTCGCCGTCCTACGTGTCCTTCTCGTCCGCCGTCGCCGCTGTTCACGGACGCGATGCCACGTGGACGGAGCGCGGTACGGCTCCGGGAGATGCGGAGAGCGACCCAGAAGGAGCGGCGTGGCCTGCGGGTGAGTCGGTTCGCAGGTGGAAACGCGACGGACCAATCAATGCGGGCAGGTGGAAGCGGTCAGATGCGGTGGGAGTTGGTGGGAGTAGGTGAAATTAGGTGGCAAGATGTTGAACTGGTTTTTGTTCTGTCTGATAAGTTTTTCCAGCATGGTGGAATTGACACTCATTCCAGCCAGCCAATAAGGGCCAACTGACACGTCAGAAATTCATCTCTCCTGCCCCATTCAACCCATCAGATGCTCCCAACACTGAAGCAGCAACCGAAGCTGCTGAAGAAGCAGCAGCAGCAGCAGCAGCAGCGGCAGCCGGAGGAGGAGGAGGAGGAGGAGGAGGAGGAGGAGGAGGAGGAGGAGGAGGAGGAGGAGGAGGAGGAGGAGGAGGAGGAGGAGGAGGAGGAGGGGAAGGAAGCTCGGGTGTTGACACACTCCCGCCGCTCTCTCTGCTGCCCCCGGATTCACGAGCAGGACTCATGTTCGATGCTCTGCTGAGGGCGCAATTTCGTGTGCAGCAGGTGCGCTGCGGTTCAGTGCGGTCAAGAGGCACAGTGGGTGTAGTTGCCTTGTGTCACTCACTCTCTGTTGCCCCTGGCTGAAGTCACGAGCAGGGCTCATGTTCGATGCTCTTCTGAGAGCACAATTCTGCGCGCAGCAGATTTGACGAGGTTCAGTGCGTTACAGCGCGGTTGAGTGGTGTGTGGTAGGTGTAGATGCCTCATTCATGTCACTCTCTGCTGCCTTTGGATCTCTCATTCCATTCCCTTTCCCTTGCACCCTCCCATTCCCCTGGTTCTCGTCCTCCCACTCGTCCTCCTCGCCCTCCCATTCCCCTCCTCACCACTGCCCCATCCCATTCCCCTCCTCACCACTGCCCCATCCCATTCCCCTCCTCACCACCGCCCCATCCCATTCCCCTCCTCACCACCGCCCCATCCCATTCCCCTCCTCACCACCGCCCCATCCCATTCCCCTCCTCACCACCGCCCCATCCCATTCCCCTCCTCACCACCGCCCCATCCCATTCCCCTCCTCACCACCGCCCCATCCCATTCCCCTCCTCACCACCGCCCCATCCCATTCCCCTCCTCACCACCGCCCCATCCCATTCCCCTCCTCACCACCGCCCCATCCCATTCCCCTCCTCACCACCGCCCCATCCCATTCCCCTCCTCACCACCGCCCCATCCCATTCCCCTCCTCACCACCGCCCCATCCCATTCCCCTCCTCACCACCGCCCCATCCCATTCCCCTCCTCACCACCGCCCCATCCCATTCCCCTCCTCACCACCGCCCCATCCCATTCCCCTCCTCACCACCGCCCCATCCCATTCCCCTCCTCACCACCGCCCCATCCCATTCCCCAATCGACCCCACTATATCCTCTTGCTATCAGCCAACCTTGGTCGCACAGGCACGGACAGCAGGCGAGCTCCTAGGTCTCACGGTGCGATCGTTGTGCAAGTCCGTGGTGGAGAGAGCATGGCAGGGTAGGAGACGTTCACTGGCCGCCTCTTAGATCCATTACCCCCTCCCACCGTCTCCCTTCCAGGCATGGACGGCAGGCGAGCTAGTAGGCCCCACAGTCAGATCGTTCCGCAAGGGCGTGGTGGAGAGCAGAGCATGGCAGCAGAGGCGCTGTGGCTGCTTTTCAGATCCATTTCCTTGTTGTTCCCCGTCCCGCTCACACACTATCCCTCTCCCATTCCAGGCGTGGGCAGCAGGCGAGCTGCTGGGTCCCACTGTAAGGTCGTTCCGCAAGGGCGTGGTGGAGAGCATGGCAGCAGAGGCGCTGTGGCAGCCTGCTGACGTCATTGCTGCTGCTGCTGCCGACGCTGCTGTTGGCGCTGCTGACCCTGACGCTGCTGCCAAGGCTGCCTCAGGTATGTTTTCAGGAGTTGCCTTTTTTAAGACGTCTAAAAAACTAACTCATTTCACGTCGCTGACCCCGATGCTGCTGCCAAGGCCGCTTCAGGTATTTTCTCATAATTTGTTCGAGTGAAGGTTGTTTGTTACATAAAGCATTGGATTTCCTTGTTATGTTCCAATCTTGAGGGGATTGGATTGGGGCTGTTGTTTGCAACGAGAGTGTTCCTTTGCTTGTTATCCCTCGTTGAGCCATTGCTGCGTGGCAGATTCGGGTCCATCAGGGACGACACGCTACTGTGGCACAGAGGCCACAGAGGCCCCTGTGTCATTCCGCAGAGCATATTATGCGCTCACCTTCTGCTCTCTAATATCTCAAACCCTAAACCTGACTTCAATTCACAGAGGTTGTAGCAGCAGCGGCAGCAGCAGCAGCGACCAGAGAGAGAAGGGATCAGAAGATTGTTTTGAGACGCCTCAAAACACGGCCAGAGAGACAAGGGAGCAGAAGATTGATTCCCTTGAAGCGGGCTGACTGCAGAGTGGCAGGTGCGGGGCGGGCCAGCCTGGCCTGGAACACACTGTGTTGTATTCTGAGACGATTTTTGAGGCGCCTCAAAAACACACCGTGTTGTATTCTGTGCAATGCACTCATCTTCTCTTCTCCCCTCCTCTCTTTCACCCCTACCTCTATGCCACAGAGGCGGCAGCTGCGGCAGAGGCGGTGGTGAGGAAAGGGAAGGACTGGATCCATTGACGTGGCGCGGGTGTTCCTGCGGCTGCTGGCGCTGACGGTGGAGTGGCAGGTGCGGGCCAACCAGACAGACTCATGTCCCTCAGTGCTCTTCCTTTTACCTTCCTCCCCTCCAGAGACAGCGGCAGCAGCAGCAGCAGCAGCGAGAGAAGGGAGCAAAGGATTGGATCCGTTGAAACGAGTGTTCTTGAGACTGCTGGCGCTGACGGCGGAGTGGCAGGTGCGGGCCAACCAGGGGCGCGCAGAGACGGGGAAGCACGCGCCGTTTGGCCTCCATATAGTCACACTGGGGGGGTCCATAACGAGGGGCTTCAGCAGCAGAAGCACGCAGTGAGTGACGGCTTTTGCCTGACTGGGTTGGGTTGCTGCCGCACCCAGGGGCCAGGGGCGCGCGGAGAAGGGGAAGAACGCTCCCTTTGGCCCGCATACAACAGTCACACTGAGGGTTACGGGTAGAGAGACGAGTTTTTTATGCACCTCAGAAATTGCAGGCCGAGAGATGCCTTTTGAAGCGCCTCAAAAGGTGTGAGAAAGGGAAGAACGCTCCCCTTGGTCTTTTTATGGTCACTCTGGAGGTTCAGCAGCTGAAGCACGCATCTAGTGAGTGGCAGGCTTTATCCAAAGGGTTCTGTGGGTTTGTGTGTGTTTGGTATGGATGTGGTTTTTGAGGCGCCACAAAACCAGTGAGTGGCAGGCTTAAGTCAGAGGGTTCTGTGGGTTGTGTCTGTTGGTTTCTTTGATAAGCCGCCCGGAGGTTGGAAACCAGTGGCGTTTTACGTCCTGCCAAAGCTTCACAAGAAAGAACCCGTGGGGCGGCCGATCGCCGCTTCACACTCTTGGGTTACAACTAATGTGAGCCGCTGGCTTGACACTGAACTTCGACCGCTTGTCTTAAAACGACCCACCTACCTCCGCGATTCCCTCTCGCTGTTGACTACGCTAGAACGGACCCCTTTTCCTAGGACGGTTCTTCTTGGAACTTACGACGTCACTGCGCTCTACCCCAGCATCTCCATAGAGCACGGGCTCGAAGCAGTCAACTGTTTTCTTCAACGAGAGAACCCGCAGCTCGCTCTACCTCTCATGGCCCTATTGGGGTGGGTCTTGAGGAACTCGTTTGTCGAGTTCGACGGCCGGACGTATCATCAAGTTCGAGGGACAGCTATGGGAACTCCTGTCGCTGTATGCTTCGCCGTCCTTTTATGAGCCGTCTTGACGAGCTGCTCAAGGATAGATAGATGGACCGGAACAGTTCCTCTTCACTACGTGCGCTTTATTGACGATGGCTTTCTCATTTGGCCAGGAACGCGGGTATAATTGGAGGACTACCTACGGACCTTCAACGCGCTAGATCCTAATATTAGGAATTACGTGGTCAGTTTCGGACAGCTCCATAGACTTTCTCGATCTGGTCCTTTCCAAAGGGCCTCACTTTCAGGAGCACGGTATCTTAGATTTCGGCACCTTTCAGAAGCCGTTAAACCGATGCCTCTATCTGCCCTTCTCCTCCTTCCACCCACGGCATTGCAAGGAAGGACTCATTCGAGCTGAATTGAAGCGCTACCTACTTCGCTCGACCTCAGCTGCGACCTTCCTCGCTACGAAGTCTGTTTTTTTCCAGCGACTCCGTGCTCGTGGTTACCCGCCAGCTTTTCTCCACCCTTCAAAAGTGTCTGCTTCGCTCAACGGCCAGAGCTCCTCGCCCACATCGCCACCAACCAGTTACTCAAGCAACAAGTTCTACCATCCCGCGGGCGCCTAGTTTTGAAGACGGAGTTCACACCATGGACTTCTCGTCTCCGACTTGGGGTCGTTTTGAGGCGCCTCAAAACTAGATTTCTCTCACGCGGATTGTATGTAGATAGGATTTTTGTTGCCTGGAAATTGGGGTGTAGCTTATCAAGGCTACTGGTGCGCGCGCGACTTTCGAGTTTGCGAAGTGGTGAAAATGCAGGTCCTGTTACTCACGAAGACACTGTCGAGGAATGAAGACGTGGCTCCTTGGAAATGGAATTTCCAGGGCAGCCTGGATTGGTCCCCATCTTCTTGGGTTGACCAGGGTGAAGATAGCCTGGGGATTTGTATATTTCGGTGGTTAGCCTTTCTTGCTTTGCTTTAGAAGGCTAGGCCTCACTCAAATCCTTTCATTTGGCACTGATGAAGGCTTGCTAGGGGCTTCCCTACAGCCGAAACATGTTTCTCCGTGTTTTAGCCACAGCTTAGTGAAGAGCTTCGAATTTACAGAACCCTACGTGAATCAGCTAGGTTTTTTCTAGTACTGTTTTCTCCTTTGTGAAACCTTCTCCCTTAAACTGCTGCTCGCTGGAATGTCTCTTAATCGGGTTCTGTGGGTTGTGTCTGGTTTGTAGGGGTGTGTGTGGCTTGTGTGGCTGGATGTGTGTGGCTGGATGTGTGCGGCTGGATGTGTGTGGCTGGATTTGTGTGGCTGGATGTGTGTGGCTGGATGTGTGTGGCTGGATGTGTGTGGCTGGATGTGTGTGGCTGGATGTGTGTGGCTGGATGTGTGTGGCTGGATGTGTGTGGCTGGATGTGTGTGGCTGGATGTGTGTGGCTGGATGTGTGTGGCTGGATGTGTGTGGCTGGATGTGTGTGGCTGGATGTGTGTGGCTGGATGTGTGCGGCTGGATGTGTGTGGCTGGATGTGTGCGGCTGGATGTGTGTGGCTGGATGTGTGTGGCTGGATGTGTGTGGCTGGATGTGTGTGGAGCCAGCTGCCCCGCCTTAAGCCTCCCATCATTCCTGGGAGATTCCCCAGGTGAGCCCCCCCCCCTTCACTTCGCAACTATGTCACCAACTCGGAAAAGTGCCTGCTCGACATCAACGTGGGAGAGGCCTGGGACTCAACTCTCCTGCTCCACCAGTAACATAGCTTTCTTCCTCCTACTGCCTCCGTCCCCCTTTCACCAACTCCCCCTCCCCCCAGGCATATAATAACTGAGTTCAATATAAATGTTGGCAAAGCCTGGGACTCAACTCTCCTGCTGCTCAACCTCAACCTCTTCGGCTGCTCCTCCACCTTCTCCCACCAGAGGCTCCTCTTCTTGTGACCCCATCCCCACGCTTTCTCCTTCCATCCCCTTTCCCCCATCCCTCCCCCACCTTTTCCCCCCAGGCATAGTGATCACCGAGTTCAATATAAATGTGGGCGAAGCCTGGGATGTCAGCGTGGCCCTCCCACCCCGACCTGCTCAACCTCAACCTCTTCGGCTGCGCCTCCACCTTCTCCCACCACAGCGGCCCTGCCCGAGGCTCTTCCTTTAATTGTGACCCCATTCCCACGCTTTCTTCTTCCATCCCTCTCCCTTTCCCCCATCCCTCCCCCACCTTTTCCCCCCAGGCATAGTAATAACCGAGTTCAATATAAATGTGGGCGAAGCCTGGGACTCCACGCTCCTGCTGCGCCAGCTGGCAGCCTGGCCCTCACACCCGGCACTCCTCAATCTCAACCTCTTCGGCTGTGCCTCCACCTTCTCCCACCACAGCGGCCCTGCCAGAGGCTCCGCCTCCTGCGACCCCATCCCCACGCCCTCCTCCTCTGACTATGCTGCCGCCGCTGCTGCTGCTGCTGCCGCTGCTGCCCACGCTCAGTATGGCTCGGGCGCTCACGCCGTTCTGGCGCCCCGCGTCTGTTCCCCGTTGTGGGAATATCGATGGGAGCTATGGTAATGGTTCTGCTGGTGCTGCGGGTGGTGGTGTGGGGAGTGGGAGTAGAGGTGGTGGAGTGCGGTCGGCTTGGGTGCGGCTGGTTGCAGGGGCGTGTGAGAGGGAGAGCACGCTTCCCAAGGACAGGTGTCCCCCGTCAGGAGACAAGCCCTTCTCCCTGCCCTGCACTGCCTGCGTGCACGCATGCTACGCCAGGGAGGGGTGGGGGGCGGTGGGATTCGGTGGGGATGGTGGAGAGGCGGTAGGAGGAGGAGGGGAGGGAGTAGCAGAAGAACAGCTGGCAAGTCTGGGTGTGAACCGGCTGATAGGATGCTCTGGTCATGAGCTAGGCTCTCTCTACCCACCTGGCCAAACACCTGCCACCGTCGCCGATGCTGCTGCTGCTGCCGCCACGGCTGCCGCTGCTGCCGCTGCTGGAAGCTCCGACGCGGGAGACTCCGAGGTGGTCGGGCGGCCGCTTTTGGAAGTATCTGCAGAAACAGTGCTGGGTGCCGACCGGGTGCACATGGTAGAGTTTGGGCACGAGCTGGCAGCGGCAGTTGTGGTACGGCATCTGGTGTCCTCTCTGCTGGCACTCACCCCCCAAGACATCCCGCAGTACCTAGAAGAGGAGCAGCAAAGAGAACAGCAGCAAAGTGAGCAGCAGCAGGAGCAGCAGGCGTGGACACACATGAAGCCAGAGCGAGGGCAGTGCTTCACCACCAACTGGGGTGACTACCGACAGAGGCACCGCTGCCCCAAGCTCAAAGCTATCAGTGGGCAGGTCTCCTTGAAATCCCGCCAGCCCGGGTGGGTGCTGTACCCGCTGTCGCGCGACAAAGAGGCCTTTATGTCGCACGTCCCCAACGCCACTGCAACTTTTGCGATCAGTGTGAATCTACGGGCCGGAGGAAGGCTGGCGTTTCTGTTCTTGAAAGCCCAGGATCTCGGGCCTGGGCTCGTGCGTGTAGCGTGGGAGGGTGGGGGTGGAAAAGGTGGGGAAGGTGGAGGGGAAGGCGGGGCGATTGGGCCGATTTTGTTGAATGCGGAGGTGTGGAGATCGCCTACAAGGGTTGTGGGAGGGCACGTGTTGCCGGGGATAGTGCCGAGAGGGAAGGTGGAAGTTTCAGTGACGGTGGTTCCTGGTGGGGGGAATGGAGCTCCCGAGGGGTTTGGCGTGATTGGCGTGTTTGTGTTGTCAGGGCTGCTTCCGGAATCCATGTTTTCATGAATGCTGAACTTTTAGTTTTTTTGCTGATGTATCATACAGGATATGATTTTCTGAATGTACAAAGCAGTGCAGGCTTCTGTCTGTACATGTAAAGTACCACCATGGCATGAGGAAGATCAGTAGTAAAACGTAGGCCGCTAGTTTACACATAAGCGTTAATTTTTTATGGTTTGAATGTGTGTAACTTTTCCAGGGCAGTCGTTTCGTCAACGTTTTCGCTGAGTTCGGTTCGGACCGAGCCAGCACCGGCCAACCTGGCCAACACCCGCGGGAAACCCGAATCTTTCGTCAAGTCAATGTAACGCTCAATACGACGCTGTGGCGAGAAAACCATTATGTGTGTGCTCGCTACGGATGCCCAATCACAGCGTCGAGCTACCGTACGTCGCGCAGGGTAGCCGTTGGGGGAGGAAGGCGCCAGTGCGCCACACCAATAATGTAGCGTCGCAGCAAGGCTCAACTCAATCCGCCGAGTGTTTTGCTCAATCCCGCGGAATCGTAGTTCGTTTAATTTTAGCCACGTGGCATGCCTTCGAACGCGTGAACCGCGATCTGTTTTATTGTTATCACAAACTTCAACAGAAAATTAGTTAAGTTCTGTACTGAGCTGCCCGCGGGCAAATATAAAACCCATTTGGGTCTGGCATGCGCTAGGGAGGCATCAACCCTAAACACCTTGCCTCTAGGCGTTTAGGGTTGATGCATCCCTAACGCATGCCTTATCCTGAAGTGGCCCAGTCAAGTAAGATGGGACTTCCGAAGGGAGAGGTTACGGGGTCAAACCCCAGTGCGGGCGAGTTCTGCCAGCCCCCCAGAAGGGGGTTTCGCACTGCTCTTCTGGGACTGGATATATCCCTACCTCGATACCCAGTGAGGCGTGTAAATAAGTGGGTAGGCAGATTACGATCGACAGCCGGGGGTAACCCAAAGGGGGCCCTCCCCCCTCCTTTACCTTTCCCTAAAGCATGCCTTACCTATAGGGGTTTTATTTTTGCGCGCAGGCAGTGCAGTACAGAACTTAACTAAATATCTTTGAAGATTGTGATAACAATAAAACAGATCGCGGTTCATGAGATCATAGGCTCACCACGTGGCAAAAATAAACCAAACCGCGCTTTCGCGAGGTTGAGCAAAATTCTCCAATCCACCTTCCTCACATGTTCCTTCCTTGAGGCTACTGTATGAAAGCGTGGAGCAAACACATGTCCAACTCAACCCTGCTCTGACTACCTACTGCTGCTGACGACATGAATTTCTCTGCCATGCATGTGTTCTTCAACCTAGGGTCGATTTTGGACAAGAGAGTTCAGTGTCCAAATTCATTACTCTAAATATGCTACAGATTACCTCGACTTCGTAAAAGCCACACATCATCATTTCCCAGTTCAACTACTAATTTGCGTTTCCAGTTCCTCCAGCAGACAGACGCAGAACTCACCGAGTAAAGCCACGAAATGTTCGTCGATTCAGCGAATTTGACAAGATAACCAACCTCCTTTTACCGCGTCGCGAGTCGTCCACCTGCGGCCGTCGCGTCGCTCCCATCGCGGCATGGACGACGCTGACGTCGTTGCGTGCTGCGGGTGCTTCGGCTTGCCCAGTCCCAGGACTCCCTCGACGCCCTCGAAGCGCTCGTTGTTTCGCGGGAATGATTCAGGTCAGTTCGCCTTTCAGCCGCCCAGTCGAAGCGCTCGCCCAGTCCCAGGACTCCCTCGACGCCCTCGAAACGAGCCGCGTTTTGAGTCGACTCAAAACGCGGCTCACAAAGCTCAACTCGTTGCTGTGGTTGCTTCGGCTCGCCCAGTCCCAGGACTCCCTCGACGGCGCCCTCGAAGCGCTCGGTTTTGCGCGGGAACGGCGCAGGTCGGTTCTGGCCTGATCGCATGTAGTAGCGAGATCGTTCTCACAGCATTAGTAGTGATGCGGCGAGCCCTGCGACTTCGTGGCGTGTCCACAGTGCTAACAAGATTGATGTATTCCTGCTTTTGAGTTGTTCTTGCGTTTCTCGTGCACAAATCTGCCCCCCCTTTTTTTTTCCTCGTTGTAACGGGGTGCTCGGGCAGAGAAACACGAGTTTTTTTGGGAAATTTCTGGTTTGCGAAACTCAGACCCCGTGCTCGATCACACAGTGCAGGCGAGGTGCAGCCGGCCTCGTGTTCCACGTGTCCACGAGTGATTTTTGAGAATTCTCAAAAATCACTTACAGAAAGCTTTGCGACCGTTGGTTGATTTGTCGTCATGGTAGTTCCTCGGCGCCGATAGCAGCAGGTCCCGAACGAAGCTAGCCTTCTCCGAGAGCCTCAGAGGCAGATTTGTACCGTGAGACGCGGCGAGCCTCAAAGCCTCAGCAGGTACTGTAGCGCGCGAGTGAGACGCGGCGAGCCACGGGTGCTGCAGCGCGTGAGACGCGGCGAGCCACGGGTGCTGCAGCGCGTGAGACGCGACGAGACGCAGTTGTAGTGACACCCACCCCAACAGCTGTTCCGCCCGTGTCTCTCCTGCTGCCCTCACTCAATCATTCTTCCTGCCGCCTATAGCGAGAGCGGGATGCAGCAGGACTCGACGGTGTATTCTCATGCACCCTTTCTGCAGCTAGACCTCTCCCTCCCCCATGTCTTCTTTCTCTCTTCCTTCTCCCCCAATCGCGCCTCTGCTTTCCCCTCTTCCCCTCCCCACCCTCTCTTTCCAAACCCCTCTGTGTCCCCACCAGCGCACATCCAGCCTTCCTCCAGCCCCTCTCCCCTGCGCCGCCTTTTGAGGCGCCTCAAAAGTTCCCCATCCCACCCTCCCTTTCCAAACCCCTCTGTGTCCCCACCAGTGCACAGCCAGCCTACCTCCTCCAGCCCCCCTCCGCTACGTCGTTTCTCCTACCGCGCGTCGTCTCTGCAACTGAAAAAGGGCCTTACTCTCCTCCTCTCCCCCTTTTTCTCCCCCATCTCTCCTCCATCTCTTCTCCCTCTCTTCTCCCTTTCTTCTCCCTCTCTTCTCCCTTTCTTCTCCCTCTCTTCTCCCTTTCTTCTCCCTCTCTTCTCCCTTTCTTCTCCCTCTCTTCACACCCTACCTCCTTCACCCGCTTTCCCAAACACGCCCACTCCCACCTCCCCCCACCCCACCCTTTGCCCCCTCGCCCCCTCCGGAACCCCATGATGAATCCCCTCTGTGCCAGTATCAGCGCACAGACAGCCTTCCCCCAGCTTCCCTCCCCTGCAGCGTTTCTCCTACCGCGGGCTACAGCAGGTGCGGGGTTACTTCAACGCGTCCCTGCAGCTGGGCAAGGCGAGGGCCTTACTTCATCCCCCCTCTTCGCCCTCTCTTCACGCACTACCCCCCAGCGCACAGCCAGCTTTCCTCCAGACGAACCCCCCCTCCCCTCCCTCCCCCCCCCCCCGTCTGCGGCGCTTCTTCAATCGCGAGCTGCAGCAGACAGTGGGGTACTTCAACGAGTCCTTGCAGCTGGGCAAGGGCAGGGCATCACTTTCCTCCTCATTCTTCTCCCTCTCTTCTCCCTCTCACCTGCAGCTGTGCAAGGGCCTTCCTCCGACCCGCCTCCTCTGCGGCGCTTCTCCTATCTCGAGCTATACCAGGCAGCGGGGTACTTCAACGCTGCCCTGCAATTGGGCAATGGCTCTTATTCTCTCTCCCTCGCTTCCCCCTCTCTTCTCGCTCCCTTCTCGACCCCCTTAACCCTCTCTCTCTGCAGCGAGGCAAGAGCCTTCCTCTGGCCCGCCTCCCTTACGGCGCTTCTCCTATCGCGAGCTATACCAGGCAGCGGGGTACTTCAATTCGTCCCTGCAGCTGGGCAAGGGCAGCTTCGGGACCGTTTTTCGCGGGCAGGTGGATGAGTGGCTGGGAGAGCTGCCACGTGGCAGCAGGAGAGAGGTCGCGGTGAAGGTGCTTCACACAGAGAGCGTCAGGGCGTTTGATGATTGCCTGGTGAGGGGCGAGAGCGTAATGAGTGATTGGGTAGGGAGGGAGGAATGAGGCAACGGAGGGATGTGCTTGGGGGTTTGCGTGGCGGTGAAGGTGCTTCACACAGAGAGCGTCAAGGCGTTTGATGATTGCCTGGTGAGGGGCGAGGGTAACAAGGGAGTAGGGAGGGGTGACGCAAGTGAAGGATGGGCGTGGGGCAATAGGAGAGGTGGCGGTGAAGGTGCGTATCACTGGCTGACAATGCGAAGGCACTTGATGACTGCCTGGTGAGGGTCAGGAGTGTAACGAGTGAGTAGGGGGGAGTGAGGCAAGGGAGGGATGGGCGTGGGGTAATGGACCAGCAGTGAAGGTGCATCTCACTGGCTGACAGTGTGAAGGCGCTTGATGACTGCCTGGTGAGAAGCAAGGTAAAGGAGTGAGTAGGGAGGGAGGAGTGAGGAGAGTGAGCTCAAGGGGGAAAGAGAGGGGAGAGGAAAGAGGATGGGCTTGAGGAAACGGAAGAGGTGGTCGAAAGGTGATTCACACGGAGAGCGTTGGATCGTGTTTTGAGTAGTCTCAAAGCACGGCTCATTTTGAAGAAATGGAAGAGGTGGTCGAAAGGTGATTCACACGGAGAGGAGAGCGTGAAAGCCATGGGTGACTGTCTGTTGATAGGTGAGGGACATGAGTAATAGGCAGTGAGAATTCAACGTTCTAGTCTGAGGTGGATAGGAGATGGGAGAGTACGGGGATGGGGAGGGAGATGGGAGGGGGCTCGGTGGGAGGTGGGGATAGGGTCTGGGGAATGGGAGCGGCGGCATTGAAGTGAAGTCCTGCTTGGTGGCAGCGTTATAGCCTTCGGTGTCTTTTTGAGTCGACTCAAAACGTGGGGTGTCGGGGGAACGGGAGCTGCGGCTTGGTGGCAGCGTTACAGCCTTCGGCGCCCTTCACCCCACAGGCGCCGATCCTAGTGCTGGGGAGCCTTAACCACCCCAACCTGGTGCAGTTGCCTCCACCCCCACTCCCACCCCAGCTGCAGCTGCTTCTCGTACTCAATCCCACCCACCCCCCTTTCCTCCATGCCATGTCCTTCACTCAACCCCACCCCGCCCCCTCTACCCCCCCATCCTGCATCTACCATATCACAGGCGGAGATCCTAGTGCTGGGCGATTTGAACCACCCCAACCTGGTGCGGCTGCTTCTCCTCTTTCTCTCCCCTCATGACGCATACCCATTTCCTCTCCCTCTCTCCTCACCACACACACAGGCGGAGATCCTAGTGCTGGGCGATTTGAACCACCCCAACCTGGCGAGGCTGCTTCTCCTCTTTCTCTCCCCTCATGACGCATACCCATTTCCTCTCCCTCTCTCCTCACCACACACACAGGCGGAGATCCTAGTGCTGGGCGATTTGAACCACCCCAACCTGGTGCGGCTGCTGTGGGGTACTGCATGGAGGGCTGCAGTGCGACTCTCCTCTTCCTCACACCCACATCCCTCTTCCTTTACTCCCCGCCATGCATGCCCATTCCTCTACCTTTCCCGTCACCCAGAAACCCCATTCCTCCCCCTCTCTCCACACACACAGGCGGAGATCCTAGTGCTGGGCGATCTGAACCACCCCAACCTGGTGCGGCTGCTGGGGTATTGCATGGAGGACAGCCGGGCCATTCTGGTGTACGAGCTGGTGGAGAGGGGCGACCTGCACCACTGGCTGCACCCCAATGGTACGGTTATGGTGATTTTCTATTGTTGTTGACTTGTGAGTAAGGGGATGGGGAGGGCTGCTGGGGTACTGCATGGGTGTTTGGAATATGGGCGTGTGCAGAACACACGTGGTGTATGAGCTGGTGGAGCGAGGCGACCTGCACCCTGGCTGCACCCCAACACAGCACTGAGCACCACTGCCCACACCCCAATGGTGAGCCTGTGGTGCTATGAAGGGAAGGGAAGGATGGTGGGGAGTTAGGTCAGTGTGGTGTACGAGCTGGTGGAGAAGAGGCGACCTGCATCATTGCCTGCATCATTGCCTGCACCTAAATGGTTAGTAAGATGACGGATGGGGTTGTAAGAGGGAAGTAGGTTGTGGTTAGGTCGGTATGGTGTATGAGCTGGTGGAGAAGGGGCGACCTGAATGGTTAGTAAGAGACAGATAGGGTTGTGGTTGTGGGAGGGAAGTAGGTTGCTTGGCTTAGAACAGCTCAGAGGGTGGTGTATGAGCTGGTGGGGAAAGGGTGACCTGCATTACTGCCTGCACCTTAGTGGTGAGTTTCCACTCATGTGAGTGGGAAGGAGAGGATGATAAGGGTGGGGGACTGTAGGTTGGCTTGAAACAGCATTGGTGAATGGGCTGCTGGAGAGAGGAGACAATTGCCATTAGGTAAGGGGATGGGGGTGAAGTTGAAACGCGTGATGAAAATGGAAAGGGGTATGGAAGAAGGATTAGCAGGTTTTGAGTTATGGACCTTTATACATGTCTACACCGGAAAAAAAAAAAAGTATAAGAACTTCAAAAATCAGAACTCATTGTGCCAGCCGGGAATCGAACCCGGGTCTGCACCGGGCTCATGGCAGGGTGCTATTCTACCACTAGACCACTGGCACGCTTTGGGATGCATAAAGAGATCAGGGTATGCATTCTGTACTTCTAAATTGGGCTGGTGGCAAGATCTGGTAAGATGCGCTGCATTTGAGAGAGTACTCAAGGAAGCGAATGTAAGGAACGAACACAGTAAGGAATGTAATAAGGATGAGACCCAGAGGAGGACTCACCGATTATTACATGGCGCAATTGTCGACTAGGGGCTGGAGGAAGGGGGTCAACTCAGGTGGCGAGTAGCTGATATTGGGCTTGGTACCACGCCGCATGGTCTGGTACCATGCTGGGGACATTGTGCCGGGCCGACTAGTGCCAGACTGCATTGTGCCAGTCATGGGAGCAGCAGCGCGTGCAGGTGGCGTGGCAGTGGGCATGGGCGAGGGCGTTCCTTGGCGTATCTGCCTCCGACTTATTCCTGATTGCCTCCCTTCCCGAACCCCTCTCCGCCCCCCTTATTGATCCTCCCACCACTCTCCATCCCCCCAGACCTCTCCCCGGACAACCCATGCCTGACATGGAAGCAGCGAGTGCAGGTGGCAGTGGGCATGGCGGAGGGCCTGGCTTGGCCAATTCCGACCAGTTCCTTACCATTTCCTGCCCTCTCCATCCCCTTCCCTCCTCCCCCTCTCTTGTCGATCCTCCCCACCACCCTCCATCCCTCCAGACCTCTCCCCAGACAGCCCGTGTCTGACATGGGAGCAGCGGGTGCAGGTGGCAGTGGGCATGGCAGAGGGCCTGGCATATCTGCACGGGCAGAACATCATTCACCGGGATTTCAAGTCACATAACGTGATGCTGGACAGAGTAAGTTGCATGGAGGGGTGCTGCAGTTGCTTTCGTTGAATTTTGAACAAGTGGGGGGAGAAGGTCTGTTGGGCATGAGTGCCTTCGTGTGGGCTTGGTCTGCCTTATCTGCACGGGCAGAACATCATTCACCGCGACTTCAAGTCCCACAATGTCACGCTGGACAGTGTAAGTGGGATGGGATTCTGTACTTTCTGGTGCATCGTACATATGTCATTTGAAACCGCAACCCTGCTCCCTCCCACAATCTACCATGAAATCACTTTTGAGAATTCTCAAAAGTGATTTCAATATTTGAAGCAGTAACCCTTCTCTCCCCCACAATATACCATGACACATATCATGCTCTTCCATGACATGAGGAGCTGAGAGCCAACAGACATATCCTGGCATGGCCACGCGGGGTCCGGTCCGGAGGAGGGCAAGACTCCACATAAGTTGCCTAACCCCTCCCCCCCTCCCCAAAATCGATGTGGGCAGGAGCTGAGAGCAAAGGTGACTGATTTCGGCATGGCCACACGGGGACCGGAGGAGGGCAAGACGCACGTGTCAACTCGCATCATGGGCACCCTGGGGTACCTCGACCCTGACTATATCGACACAGGTGGGGAGGGTTTCCGTGCGGTGCAGTGCGGTGGAGATGGATTAGCATGGGTTGTATGGTATTGGGCAGCAAGATGCATGTGTCGACTCGTAGCATTGGCACCAAGGGGTACCTCGACCTTGAATACAATTACATGGTCCTGCTGGAATCACCAACAGGCTGATCCCAAGGCATTACCACTGCACTGCACGCAACTGCCCCTCCCTCCCCTTTTCCTCTTACCCCTTTCAAACATTCCCTCTATCCGTGCGTGTCCCCTCGACCTCCCCTTGTCCCCCTCTCCGATGATGCATCACCCCCCTGTTCCTCCCTCCTCCAAGCCACCTCACCTCGCTGAGGTGGGCGAGCAGAACAAGGATGTGTTCTCCTCCCATGTGTTCTCCTCCCATGTGTTCTCCTCCCATGTGTTCTCCTCCCATGTGTTCTCCTCCCATGTGTTCTCCTCCCATGTGTTCTCCTCCCATGTGTTCTCCTCCCATGTGTTCTCCTCCCATGTGTTCTCCTCCCATGTGTTCTCCTCCCATGTGTTCTCCTCCCATGTGTTCTCCTCCCATGTGTTCTCCTCCCATGTGTTCTCCTCCCATGTGTTCTCCTCCCATGTGTTCTCCTCCCATGTGTTCTCCTCCCATGTGTTCTCCTCCCATGTGTTCTCCTCCCATGTGTTCTCCTCCCATGTGTTCTCCTCCCATGTGTTCTCCTCCCATGTGTTCTCCTCCCATGTGTTCTCCTCCCATGTGTTCTCCTCCCATGTGTTCTCCTCCCATGTGTTCTCCTCCCATGTGTTCTCCTCCCATGTGTTCTCCTCCCATGTGTTCTCCTCCCATGTGTTCTCCTCCCATGTGTTCTCCTCCCATGTGTTCTCCTCCCATGTGTTCTCCTCCCATGTGTTCTCCTCCCATGTGTTCTCCTCCCATGTGTTCTCCTCCCATGTGTTCTCCTCCCATGTGTTCTCCTCCCATGTGTTCTCCTCCCATGTGTTCTCCTCCCATGTGTTCTCCTCCCATGTGTTCTCCTCCCATGTGTTCTCTTCCCATGTGTTCTCCTCCCATGTGTTCTCCTCCCATGTGTTCTCCTCCCATGTGTTCTCCTCCCATGTGTTCTCCTCCCATGTGTTCTCCTCCCATGTGTTCTCCTCCCATGTGTTCTCCTCCCATGTGTTCTCCTCCCATGTGTTCTCCTCCCATGTGTTCTCCTCCCATGTGTTCTCCTCCCATGTGTTCTCCTCCCATGTGTTCTCCTCCCATGTGTTCTCCTCCCATGTGTTCTCCTCCCATGTGTTCTCCTCCCATGTGTTCTCCTCCCATGTGTTCTCCTCCCATGTGTTCTCCTCCCATGTGTTCTCCTCCCATGTGTTCTCCTCCCATGTGTTCTCCTCCCATGTGTTCTCCTCCCATGTGTTCTCCTCCCATGTGTTCTCCTCCCATGTGTTCTCCTCCCATGTGTTCTCCTCCCATGTGTTCTCCTCCCATGTGTTCTCCTCCCATGTGTTCTCCTCCCATGTGTTCTCTTCCCATGTGTTCTCCTCCCATGTGTTCTCCTCCCATGTGTTCTCTTCCCATGTGTTCTCTTCCCATGTGTTCTCCTCCCATGTGTTCTCCTCCCATGTGTTCTCCTCCCATGTGTTCTCCTCCCATGTGTTCTCCTCCCATGTGTTCTCCTCCCATGTGTTCTCCTCCCATGTGTTCTCCTCCCATGTGTTCTCCTCCCATGTGTTCTCCTCCCATGTGTTCTCCTCCCATGTGTTCTCCTCCCATGTGTTCTCCCTTCCCTGGGCGTCATCCTGCTCGAGCTGCTCACGATTTTTGAGGCGCCTTTTTTTAGGCGCCTTTTTTTTAGCGCCTCAAAAGTGGTCACCTCACCCTTCTGAGCAACATGTTTTCCCTTCCCTGGGCGGCATGCTGCTCGAGCTTCTCACTGACTGAGGTGACATTTCACTCAATGCAGGGGTCACTGCATCCCCCCACCCACCCTTACCGAAAGGTCACCTCACCCCGCTGAGCGACGTCTTCTCCCTGGGCGTAGTCCTGCTCGAGCTGCTCACAAGCCCCCTCCCCTCCGCCCCTTGTGCCCCTCCCCCGTGTGTCACCCCCGTCCCCTCTCCACCCAGGTCACCTCACCCCGCTGAGCGATGTCTTCTCCTTGGGTGTGGTTCTGCTCGAGCTACTCACTGACCTTTGAAGGGGACTCAAAACTCCCCCCTACCCTTCCTCCCCACGTCAGGTCACCTCACCCCACTAAGCGATGTCTTCTCTCTGGGCGTTGTCCTCCTCGAGCTGCTCACCGGCCGCTCCCCCGCCACCACCGCCACCCACAACCGCCTCTTCCCCTGGATCCACAAACAGCTGGCGCGAGGTAAAAAAGGGGGCGGGGGAGGCGGAGGGGGAGACTCAACATCAGCAGCAGCGGCAGCAGCAGAAGCAGGTGATGAAGAGCAGCAGCAGCAGCTGCAGGGGAAGAAGGCGGATGGGTTTCACATAAGCCAGGTGGTGGATCCGCGGCTGAAGGGGCAATTCTCCGCGAGTGCAGCGAGGAAATTGTTGCTGGTGGCGCTGCAGTGTAGTCAAGAGGAGCCGAGCAAGCGCCCTGAGATGAGCCGCGTGGTGCAGAGATTGAGGGAGATCGTTGTTGGTGGGGGAGGAGTAAGAGGAGCTGTAGGAGCAGGAGGAGCAGGAGTGCAAGGGGTGGCAGGGGGTGGGGTGGCAGTGGCAGGGGCAGGAGTTCAAATGTAGGAAGCAGGCTGTTTTTAGTGACTGTAGCGAAGAAGCTGCTGCTGGTGGCGCTGCAGTGCAGCCAGGAGGAGCCGAGCAAGCGACCTGAGATGAACCGTGTGGTGCAGAGATTAAAGGAGATTGCTGCTAGTGGTGGTGGGGGGGGAGCAGGAGGAGGAGAGGGGGGGGAGGAGGAGCCGAGCAAACGAACTGAGAAGAGCCGCGTGGTGCAGCGACTGCGGGAGATTGCTGTGGTGGGGTGCAAAGAGTGGAAGGAGGAGGAGCAGGAGTGCAGAGATGGCAGGGGTAGGGGCGGCAGTGGCAGGGGGAGGGATGGCAGTGGCAGGGGGAGGGGGAGTAGCGTTGTGGCATGGGCAGGAGTGTAGGTGTAGAAAAGAGACAGTATTCAGCGAGTACAGCGAAGGGTTGCTGCTGGTGGCGCTGCAGTGCAGCCAGGAGGAGCCGAGCAAGCGACCTGAGATGAGCCTCGTTGCGAAACGATTGAGGGAGATCGCTGCTGCTGGGGGAGGAGCAGGATTGCAAAGCGTAGGAGGGGAAGAAGCAGGAGCAGTAGTAGGGCAAGGGATGGCAGGGTGAGGGGTGGCAATGTCAGGGGCAGGGAAAAGGGTGGCAGGGGTACGAGTGTAGGTGTAGGAAATAGCTTTGGCAGTCTCATTGAGAGACAGGTGAGGCTTAAGAGGAGGACAGCGCCAGCCCACCTATGAGGAGGTGTGGCACAGCCCGCAGTGTGGCATGGCACAGCAATCACATGGCACGAACCAATCAATCAGCATTGGGCATGTCAAAAGCACACATACGGCACGGCAGAACCATTTATACATCGTGCCAAACCCCCACCCATATGGCCCGGCGCAGCAGCATCATGGCAGGCAGGGCGGCACCCTTGTGAATCAGGGGGGAAGCAGCACAGGATGGCATCGAGGGGGGTGTGGGAGCCGGTCCTTGTAGGATGGGGGGGAGGTTCCAAGGGGGATGAGTGACATGGAGCCAACAGCCAGGGGAGGGGAGGTGGGGGGGGGTGGGAGAGCGAGGGGGTCCTCAGTGGGTGATCATTCTTTTCAGTGGGTTGTACCAGTACGTATCCCACTTGTCCGCATCATGCTCTGACGCTGCTTTTGTGCCCACAGGTATGGTAGGCCATGGAAGCAGTTGTAGCTCGGAAGAGAAGTTGTAGAGTGCAGGTGGAATGATGAGTTAATGTAATTTATAGTTTTGTCTTGTGCATCAGAGCGTAAAAGGGGTGTTTCTCAAAGGGATCATGAAGGAGGCTAGAACACTAGCAGCTTACGGCAAGAAACTTTCATGGACCTGTCACCTGTGTGTGTTGATAAATTGGTGGAAATGCAATCTGCCTTTATAACATTAGAAGAACCTTCGTAGCGCTAGTTTTTATTAAAACTTGAAGGTATGTGTGACATACACTAACCGCAGCAAAGCACTGTAAAATCCAGTCCGTGACAAAATATGATAGATTGTGTGGTGGAATGATTACCGTCATCGCCCGGATATAAGACATATATGTCTTATCTCGTACACGGGCAAAAATGCTTGGGTTATCTTGTATTTGGGACAGTTTAGGGTGTCTTATAAGTCTTATAAATGGAAACTTTTTAAATTACGGTACTTGGAAATATTTTCACACATCTTGAAAAGAGTTTCTCATAATGTGTGGATGTTGCAACCACTTCGGCCACTTCGGCAACCACTGCCCGCGACGCCACGTCATGGAGAAAACTTGCATAGTCAATTTTGTTAGTACCTGAGTCAGCACGTTGCAGAATTCGCGCTTCGCAAGGGTAAAAATGTACGCGGTATTTCAACTTTCGCTATAATATATTGAAGTTTCGATTATAAGACATATACCGGTATGTCTTATCTCGTACACACGAAATGAAAATTTTTGAAATATATTTCAAAATTTAAAGATTGTGACAAGACTTGTAAAGGAGCATGCAGTAAGGAGTCAAGTGCTCCTCATCTTGTGGCAGGTCCACGGACCTGACACCTAGTCCATTTCATTCATAGATCTGAATCTACAACCCATCCCTCCCTCCCCTGTAAAGAAATTCCGTTCATACATAAACTAGTTTACCCGTAATCCCCCGTATATAGGACCCCCCCCCCCCAAGTTGTAGACCCCCGGGTCTATAATACGGCACCGGGTACTCTATTCATGTACATCTGAGTTATACCCCCCCAAATGGCCCCTAACATTATAAGACCCCCCCCACATCCTGCTGAGATCAGAAGTTGATCGTAGCCCAGGATCTACCCAGGAAGGTTCGCACGCAGTGAGATAGTTTGGTGGGCCCTTGACCTCAATAGCAGAGTGAATGTAAAATGCTTTGAGATAAATAAAACATGCAAACACAACGATATAAATATGAGTACAGGGGAATACGAAGCGACCTAGCTAGCCATGTACTCTAAGGGGTACATTCCCTTATTCGAATTCAAACCAACCGTGCGGCCCGAGCAGTTACGAAACTGTTCCCGCCAGATTCATTGTCCCTGCAGCTGCCCGATGCCGTTTTTCTCCGACGGTCTAGATCCACCCTAACCGTCTGACGCTTCGAGTCAACTCTGACTCCTCGCATTCGTTCTCGATACTGCATGCCTCTTTGCTGCGGTGAGGAGTGCACAGTAATATCAAGTATTACTATTCGTAACACCCCCCTTCACTCCTGGCCGTAGCTCGACTTGACCTGCTTGACCACGCCGCTGAGTTCGGAGCAGTGCTGATACTGCTGGCGTGGCAGTCGCTTCGTGAGGAAGTCTGCTGCCATGTCACCGGTCGGGCAGTAGGTTAAGTTGACCTTGCCTTTGTCCACCTCGTCCTTCACGAAGAAGTACCGCAGCGCGATGTGCTTGGTGCGGTTGACGAAACCAGGTTTGTTCGCGATGCGAATCGCGCTCTGGTTGTCGCAGTGAAGGCGGAAGGTTGGCGAAGTTGGAATTTTCGCTTCTTGCAGAAGCTCCTGCAGGTAGAGGCCTTCGCGAACTGCTGCGGTTGCTGCGATGAATTCCGCTTCGGCTGACGACAGGGCAACCAATTCCTGCTTCTGTGAATTCCAGGAGATTGGTCCCGATGGCTCGAGTCGGAACAGGAAGCCGGTCCTGGACCGTCGATTGTCGGGGTCTGCTGCGTGATCGGCGTCCACGTAGCCGATGAGGTTGAAAGATGGAGTCGGCACAGTTGAGTAGCATAGCCCAATCTTGGGCGTTGAAACAAAGAACTGAAGGGCACGCTGCAGGTCCAGGAGATTCTCAGCCGTTGGTTTCCGTGAGTACTGCGCGAGCTGACTCGCGATGTAGGACAGATCTGGTCTGCAGGTGACAGAGGCGAAGAGAAGACATCCCAACTGCTGCTGGTAAGTCTGAATCCCAGCAGGGGATAAGGCTTTGTTGTCAGGTTTGTGGTTCGGTCCGGGGGTGCGATAGGGAGTTGAGAGAGATGCCGGTGAAATGTTGAACCGCTTCCCTAACTCCTCTGCATACTTAGCCGCTGAAAGGTGAATGGCCTCAGGAGCATAGTGTCAAACATTGTATATGTTATATTTGTGTAGGCTGTAGTGGGTTAGCCTGTAGGGGGGTCACAACATTAGGGTTTCATATTTGTACTCACAATCCTTTCTAGTTCATCATTCCAGTCTGTTGTTCCGACATGGTTTCAGAGCAGGTCCTTCGCTAGGACCGTTTTTTTTTAAGGGCCCACCGCTACCTAACTCCCTACCTACCTACCTACCTAGGGCGCCTCGACTTTTTTTTTTCGGCCCCTAAGCACTAGCGACCCGCGACCCGCCCCTTAAGGCCCCGTCGCGCCGCCCCTTAAGCCCCGTCGGCCCCGCGTTTGCCCCTTACGGCCCCGCCGCGCCGCCCCTTAAGGCCTCGCTACGGCCCCGTGCTCGCCCCTTACGGCCCCGCGCACCGCCCCTTACGGCCCCGCGCACCGCCCCTTACGGCCCCGCGCACCGCCTCGTACGGCCCCGTCGGCCCCGCGATCGACCCGCCGCTCGCCCCTTAGCGACCTAGTCGGCCCCGCGATCGCCCCTTCAGGCCCGCTGCCGCCCCGTGCACCGCTTACGCAGCCCGCGCTAAGCCCGTGCAACCTGCGCACCGCCTGCGCACCGCCCGCGCACTGCCCGCGCACCGCTCGCGCCCCACTTCGCGGCCCCGAGGCCCCATCGCCTACTCACGCACGCCCCGCAGCCGCCCGTCGCCTGCTCGCGCACGCCCCGCAGCCGCCCGTCGCCTGCTCGCGCACGCCCTGCTGCCCGCAGCCGCTCGTACGCCGCTGCTTCCGCTGCTGCTTGCGCACCGCTGCCTCCCGAGCGCCGCCGCTGCTCGTGCGCCGCCGCTGCCCCTACGCTCCCGCTGCCAGTGCGCCGCCGCTGCCCGTGCGCCGCTGCCGCCTGTGCGCTTCTGCAGCCGCCGCCCGCGAGGCACTCGCTCTCACAGTTTTTATTTTCTACCTACCGCGCACACTGCTGCCACTGCAGCTGCCACCAGTGCGCCGTTGCAGCTCCTGCTGCCACGCTACCTACTACTGCCGCTCGTGTGCCACTACGGACAGTCGACCCCGCCCGCGCCTTACCTAGCGGCCCCGCCGGCCCCGTTGACCCTCCGCACACCTTTCCAGCGGCCTGATTCCTACTACTACTGTTACTACTGCTACTGATCCTGTCACTATGGCTAGTCCTCCCGTTCTAGCTTTCGATGCCGAGGGCCGTCCAGTGAAGTTCGAAACCTGGCTAGATGACCTGCACCTGTTCCTACAGCTCACTGCCAAGGAAGATACCTCACTGTACGACCACGCCCTAGGCCATGTCACTGCCCCTGACTCGTCTGCTGACAGCACTCTGCGTTCCCAGTGGCTTACCCATGATGCGCACGCTCGCTTTGTTATTCGCAACTCCCTGCCGCTAGACGAGCGCGAGCACTTCGGCCAGTGCAAGACTGCTAAGGACCTCTACACAGCTGTAGTTGCCCGCTACTCCTCA